TCTCCTAATCTCTGCCAGTGCTGCTTTCCATTCCTCAGTGTCTGGTTTTCTTCAACAAGGAGAGAAAAGGATATCTTGGCACCAGCAGATGGCACAGTGGTTATGTCACTGGACTCCCACATAGCCAACTGTGGTTCAAGTCTTGGACAGGGTGGTTTGAAACTCACTCTGGGTATATGTGAGTGCATACACAAGATTCTGGGAGGAGAATGGAGAAGGGACTATGCTGTCGCTACCTCCCCTGGGGAGTAATTTCACTTTCCCTCTCAATGTCTCTCCAGCAAGTACACATGCCTTAAGGCAAAAAACTTAAAAAAAGAAAAAGAAAATACGACTTCTTAAACAAAATTTCAAAAACAATAAGAAAAAAAATTAATGGATTTGATGTTCAAACAGGCAGGCTACAGAATAGAAAAAGACATTTCCAATATCCAGAAGAAACAAAAGGTTTATAGATGGAATAAATAGGCTGGCTCCATGGGATACTCATAAGGTACTACTCAAGAGAAGTCAGATCCCACGTGGCAACATTGGTTTGAATTACTGATCTGGTAAGCCTGAAATGTGTTGAATACATGCAAGAGAGCCCAAGATCCACTGGCCTAGAGGAAGTACTGGAAGAGAGGGAATCATGGCATGACTAGACCCTATAGAGGCTACTTTTCTCTCTTTCACTCTCGTGTGTGCATACATGAACTCTACAGTGAATAAAAATATTTAAGAAAAGGGGAGCAGTCATTGGTGTGGTGGTTAGGGTAACTGCAGTCCACGTATGGCTGACTGCTAAAAATCCTGGACCCAGAGGCTTGAGAAACATGTTGGATATATGTGCATTCTCAAATTAATTGATAATGAGATGTTCAAGGAAATTTTGTTGGTGATAGCTGGACACTGGAGCCAATCCAAGTACTCATGTTAAGAAAGTATTGGGACCAGCAGTTAATGTAATGGCTATGTCGCTGGACTCCCACATAGTCGACCGCAGTTCGAGTCCTGGACCCGGTGGCTTAAACTCATGCCGGGCGCGTGTGTATGCGTGCCCAAGATCCCGAGAGAAGAATGGAGGAGAAGGGATTGCGGTGTGGCCATCTCCCCTGGGGGGTGATTTCTCGCTTTCTGTCTCTATGTCTCTCTCTGTCTGGCGAGCATACGGGCCCTACAGCAAAAACCTCTACCAAAAAAAAAAGTATCAAAAGGGCCGGCCCAGTACTCTAGTGGTTAAGGGAGCTAGATTCCCCCATGGCCAACCATAGTTTAAAACCTGACCCTGAGGGCTTGGAAAACATTCTAGGAGCAGGCATGCCCCAAATCCCAGATAGATAAATGAAGGGAAGGAATTGTGGTATGACCATGCCCCATTGGGGGAGTGGGGGTTATTTCTCCTCCATGCCCAAGTACACATGCCCTCTGGCAATTAAAAATAAGTATCCATGGAGCTAGCAGGTGGTATGGTGGTTAAGGTGCTTAACTGTCCACATGGCCAACTGCTGTTTCAGTTCTGTACCTGGTGGCTGGCTTTCTCACTTTCTCTCTGTCTTTCTCTGGCAACTGTGTGTGCCCTGTAGCAAATTAAAAATAATAATGATAAATAAAATTAAATAATTATTTTTTTAAAACAGTAGCTATAAAAGAAAATGTGTGTCTGGCTCCGTAGCCTAGTTAAGGCACATGGATTTCACATGGCTGACTGTGCAGTTGTCCTGGACCACGTGACATGAAAAATGTGTCCAAAATTCCTGTTAAGAAAAAGAGATGGAGAAGGGATTTCAATGTGACCATTTCCCATGGGGGGATGCTTTCTCCTCTACCTCTCTCTCTGACAAGTGAATGCACACTCTGGCAAAAAAAAGAAAAAAGTAGAAAACACACACACACTACAGAATTTTAGGATCAGATACAGATAATAATGTCCAAACAAAATGGACATTACTATTTTATTATTATTATTATTATAACATCCTATATAAAGCACAAAAAGCTGTTCTGTACAGAAAAAAGTGAAAAACAGTAACATTTATATAAGAATAGTATTTAAAAAGACAATCTGTTTTATTTTCAGGGCTTACAAAGAGTCTGCTCCAATTCCATAACCAATTAAATAATAATAAGAAGAATAGAAACAAATACATTAGTTCTGGGAACTTTTGGAAAATAGAAAAGCAGGGCCAGTCTGTGGCAAGTGATTTAGGCAGCTAAATACCACTTAGCCTAATGCATGGTGCAAGGCCCAAACTCAGTGACTTGAAAAATGTACTGGTGCATGTGCACATGTATGCCCAACATCCAAAGAGTAAGGTGAAGGGATTATGAAGTGGCTATTATCTCTAAGGGCTGCTTTGTCAATTTTCTTCTCTCTCTCTCTCTCTCTCTTGCTGGAGAGTGCATATACTCTATAGCAAGTAAACAAAACCAAAAGCATATGAAGTAGCCAAGGGCTGACAAACCACTCCAATGGCTTATCTACAGGGATACCTGGGGCTCCGATTAATTTAAGCATTAAAAGAAAATTTAGCCAATGATCTTCCAAAAAAGTTAGATCTCTAGAAAGTGTCAAGTAGAGAAAAAAAATAAAACCCCACACAATGGATAAAGTCACGTTATGCAGTCTCCAAATTAATCTTTCTCTTTCACTTCTCCAAACTTAGCTTAGAGCAACAATGGAAAGATTTGGAAAATAGTCCAGATCTTTTGTATAAATGCTTGAGAACAGTGTTGGCTCTTTTTCTGAAATCAAATCCCTAGGATTCTAGGTCAACACTCAAGAAAATGGATGGTAACATTAGTTGGTGCCTTTTCACCTAAAGGATGCCCTGTCTTAACTGCACACAAATACTTTACATACTTCACTGACACCCTGGTTCTTGTATCAATAGAATAAATTTAACCCTGGGTTCATAATGTTTCACAAAATGGATATTAAATAAACTCAAACTTAACTGAAAATCCAAGGAAAGGCTAATGCATCTTAAGATACAGACATGTTTAACATTTCTCTTTAGAACTATAGATAATTTGAGAATTGTCCTTCGGAATACTTTTTTCAGTTATAGGACTCTTAACAGTTTCTCCCAATACAGAACATGTAAGTACAGTCTCAAGAGTATCAACATGATCAAGTGCATATTTTCTCAAGCTAACAAGTTTGTATGAATGTGTACATATACCAATACACATATGTATATTTGCCAGAAGGTGTGAGAGACAGAGTAACAGAACATACTCCGTAATGAGATGATGCCCCAATCCTTTCTCCATTTCTCCAGATTATCAGGATTTGGGGCATGCATGCACATGTGTGTGTCCAGTGTGTCTTTTTATTCTTTTTTAGGTTCCTGCCTTAGGGTATGTACACTTATTGGAGAGACAAAAAGTAAGAGATCATTCCCCAAGTCACTTAAAAAACAAAGTCAACAGACAAAGTAGAATACATACATTTATGTAATATACACATAAAAAAAGGGAAGGATCAATTCCGCAGTACAGCAGTTATGCCCTGTGTCTAGGAATACAGATCCTACATAGCCTATCCTGGTTGGAAATTCAAATCCCAGCTGTGGGAACTTAAACCTACTGCATACATGCGCTTGCATGCCCCAAATCCTGGGGCATCAATAATAGACAAAAAAACCATTGTGGCACGACCATGCCCAATTGGGGGAGGGAAGTGCTTGCTTGCTTTTCTCTCAGAACACAGGCATCCCCAGCAATAAAATTTTTCTGGAAAAAGACAAAGCAAATATGCTAAAACATTATCAGTTTATGACCCTCAGGTGAAGGAGAGTATTCACTGTATAGGTTGTTTTGTTTTGTTTTTGTTTTTCAAACTTCCTGTAGATTTGAAATATTACAAAGAATTAAGGACGGACTAAAGTCACCTTTAATCAGCCTCCTCACAATCTCACGACATGCCTTACTTTAACATTTAGCTCAGTAATTTTGTTACTTCATGACTATACACCACTTACAAGATATGCTCCTGTATATATAACCCAGGTAAAACTGACTTAAATCCACCAAGCAACAGAGTATGTCTAAAAAGAAGCAAGTTTGGAAAGCTCGATCAAACCTTGAGAGAGAGACAGAGGCTATTCTCTTAAAGTAGCCCCTAGGGTTGGTCAATTTCTTCTGAAGCTTAAAATAACACGGTACCTAACGAAATGATCACTGCTTCATTCTTGACTTTGCTCAGGTGAACCCTTCTAAATCTCTGCTGCTTCCACGAGTCGGACCTGCGCTAATCGTGGAAACTTCTTAGAAAGTGGATTTTATTTCTAAATTACTTCTCATCAATGCAAGCTTAGGCACTGTCCTGACATTAACCTAATCAAACTGGGATTCCCTAACATCAAACACGCACGCTATGGCTTATCTTCTAGTACACACACCAAAAAAACAACTTTTAAAAGCTGGCATGCTACATTAACCCACCGTTATCCCCCAGACTGACTTCCTCGTTTCTAAGGAAAACAAAAACAAACCATACACATGAATAAACGGTTCTGGCACAAATATGAGACAATTCTTGAAAGGCAACTGGATTTGAAAAGAGTGACTCGCTGAGTTGGGCGAAGAGAGGTTCTGCATACTATTCCTCTGAAATCCCAGGGGCAGGACCATATATATCCCTTCTAAGGAGACTGAGGACCGCTGCGGACTGCCACGATCAGGCGACGAGCGGGGCAAGGAGCTCAGCAAGCGGCAAAAGCGACACCTACGGACAGGTCCCGAGGGGCGCGTTCCCCCGGGCCTCGTGCCGTCGCCTCCCGCCTCTCCCTGCACAGCTTCTCCCCCCCCCCCGCCTCTCCCAGCACAGCTTCTCCCAACCCCTCCCCACCCGGCTCCCTCGTCTCCACGAACGGAAATGGGAGTCACAGCGCCGGGGACCAGCGGAAACAAAACACAGAGGCGGCCGCGGGGGGGCCGCTGTGGGGGAAAAGGCCCCGGAACGAGGCCGGCCCGCGCGGGCCCACGCGCCCCTCCTCCCCCGCGGCCGCCCTCACCCGCTCCGATCGGCCTGTCGCCCCCGCCCGCGCTCCAGAGCCGGCTGGGAACGGCAACGACGCAGGCTCCACGTGCGCGTCCCTCCGGGTAAGACCTGCAGCTCCCACGACTTGAAGTGTGAGGCCCTCAGGCCCTTCCCGCGGAATCGGCGCCGAACAACCCCAACCCCCCTCCCGCCTCCCAGGCACCCCCGGGTCCAGGACTACAACTCCCAGCAGGGCGCGCGACACGAACCCCCTAGGCAACGGAGGCTCACGAGGCACAAGGAAGCACAACGCCCCAATCCGGTCTGTTTTACGTTCTCATTCTCCCTGTATAAACCATACACTCAACAACCCCACGGAACAGTTGTTTGATGCTCTTTCAGTGGGGACTTGAGCCAAGGGAGCGGCTACTCAAAGTGCGCATGCGTTCAGAGCAAGGTTTCCAGAAAGAAAAAAGCGGATCAAATTAGGCGAAGAAAAGATGGCGGACACTTGGCCAGAGGACCCGGAAGCACTTACCCTCCACTTCCTCCTCCTGTTTGGCTCTGTCTCACCTAGAGCCGTCCGGTCGCGCTGTCTTCGAGACGCTTCCTGTCCGGTGAGCGTCGACCGACTGAAACGGCGGCCCACAATGCATTGCGACGGCGGATAGGCGGGGGATGGGGCGGGGCCAGTGCCGGAAGTAGAACGGTGGCGGCGGCGGTGGCTCTGGCAGCTCGGGACTGAGTGCAAGGTGACTGGGAGGGGAGTTAGACCAGCCTGGCCTCTCCGGGACTCGATTCTGGGTT